AGGGGGGTTGGGGGGGGGGGGGGGGGGGGGGGGGGGGGGGGGGGGAAAGAGACAGAAGAGACAAAAAGAAAAAAGGAAAAGCACAATTAAACGAGGGGAACCGGAAGCAGGAAGAAACAAAGCTCGAGTTACCTGTGGCTACTGCGCGTGGCCTTCTCGGACAGGAGACAAGGGTGAGGGTGGCCATTCAGAGCTAGTGAGGGGCAGAAGCAATGTGGCTCGTGGGGGAGGAGGAGAAAAGCAGATAAAAATCAATGCATCTCATCACGGCAAAACCACCACAACAACACAAGTTTCATCGTGGCTCAAGACTGGGAAAGAGAGAAGCAACGGGGAAGCTCGGAGACGGTCAATCCAACCACGGCCGAGGAGGCTCCATCTGCAGCCACAGAAGAACGCCCTCGGCCATGTGACAAGAAGCCAGCCCGAGAGTCGGGGACAGGTGAGGTGCAGGCGCAGGATGGCCGCGCCCCTGCCTTCTCCAAAGGGGCAGAAGCTCTCGCCGTCGTGGGGGCCTCTTCGGTCTTCCGGCCTCCTCCGGCTCTTGGCATCAAAGTGGCTGCAGCCTCGGGGCTACCTAGGTGGCCGTCCTCCACAGCCAGCAACCACCAGCACTTTTGCCGTGGCCCCGCGACGTCACAGCCAAGGCCGGGCCTTCGCGGACAGCAGCTGGGAGGCCTCTCTTCCAGGGTCCACGGGAGACATCTTGGGAGACCGAAGAGCAGCCAAGGAGATGGCTCCCCAAGTCAACAAGGCAGGCGGCCCTGGAGCCCTTAGGGGTCCCAGACCAAGTGAGGTGATGCATAAAAACCAGATCAGACAAAGTCAGGGAAGATGGCACCTTTATTTTATTACCATTCACAATACACAGATGAGAAGGCACAGTTAGGCATCGTCAAAATGCAAAACCAAACTAAGTGGCTGGAGAAGCAACTTCGTTTTTGCTTTAAAAAACAGGGCAGAACAGCCTTGGAGGGGAAGGGGAAATACATGAAGACAAAGAACAGTACACCAAATCATTTCGAAGACTCAAGTTTTAGACCCGGCCCCCCACCCCAAAACACGGCTCAGCCCAGTCCAGCGTCAAGTCTGTTAAAACCCTCGAGAGTCCACCGAGTGTTTTGGGTGATTCAAGTTTATATCAAGATTGTTGGCCCGGTAATTTTTTTACAAGTCTTTGGTGTCCCAAACCAATGGAGTTCTCCCAGCACAAACTCAGGGACGGGGCACCTCTGTGGGCAAGTTTGGCTTCGTCGGTGTTTCCAGAGGACGGTTAGGAGGGCACGGCAGCAAAACCTGGACAAAGGAGGCGATGGAGTTATTCAAGCCACACAATCAGCACTTTCGCTCTCTCGGTGTTAAAAGCAGCACCACCCGGCCGGCTACAGGCCGTCTCTTTCCTAAGCAGAGGAGGGTCTGTGCCTCTCTTCTCTCACAGGCAGAGGGGCACAGGGTCTGAGAACATCCCGAGGGGGGATCGCCACCTCCCTGCTTCCGACTTCCAACCTGGGCAGACTGCCCCCCGCTCCACCAACCCCCGGCCCCTCAGCGCTGCCCCTAGGGCGCTGCTGGGCTCTGCAGGAGAGCCATTGCCTCGGGGAGTCCAAATCTGGCAGTACCAGGATCTCCTCCTCGGATCGTTTCCCCGCTCCCCCCCCAAACTGTTCCAGCTCTAGGATCAAGTAGTTTTCAGCAGAGAGAGAGAGAGCTGGTCACCTTTCTTCACAGCCGGAATTCCACACCCTGGACTCCCATTGTGTCTCTTTTTGAGCTCTAAGCACCTTTAACTTGGCTAAGAAACAGACTCCGGTGTGTTCTCTGAGGCTCCAGCCTTGGTTGGGTCCGAGAGCGGATTATATCCAGGGAGGCTCTTTCTGTAGAAAACGTGAATATTTATAGGAAAGGAAAGGAGATTTCAGCATCTATTTTCCTCAAGAAACCCCACAGCCACTGACAGAGCCTTTTCCATGCAATTCTGCGGAATCTGCTTTGAGCCTCCTGGGAGATTCGGAGAGAGAGAGAGAGAGAGCCAAGCTTACCTGCGAAGGCAATTTAGATCCACCGGGCTAAACCCACATTGCTCTCCTTCCCCACCTGGCGCATTTACCTTTCTGACACTGAATGCATGCAGAGGTTGGGAACTTTGTGAACACGGTCATGGAAACCAGAGGCATTTTTCATACCAGGAAATGACAAGCCACTGCAAACTTTCAGAATGCCTACAGCAACCAAGAGGACACTCACCCGCCTGAGCGACGTGGCAGCTAGAAATGCTGACACATTTCATCCCAAAAGAAAGGGCTTTTGCATAAAGCTCACCGGGGAGACGCTATTAAAAACAGCAGAATTCCAAACGAGAGAAAAAACTCAGCATTTAGTAGACACAGAAGAAGAGAAAGGAGCAGAACCCGGGTTGACTTTCGTTTCTTTTTGCCTGCCGGCCATCTCTGACTGCCACATCTTACCTGCACTTAGGAACGGTCCTTCTTTCCCGTGTCACCAGGGCTGCAGGGGGCGTAATCAGCAGAAGGAAGCCGCCTGTGGTTCTCTCCTCAAGCGGCCCCAATTGGACACACAGAACCTGCCAATCCCCCCCCCCTCCACAACTCCCTCCCTCCAAGTGCTTCAGTGTTGCCACAAGTACAACTAAACCCTGGGCTTCCCTTAAACTTGGATTCTCAAACCAACCAGAGGGAAATCTCCAGGAATCAACATTTGGGGTAGGCGGCCCTGTCTGGACAGCAGAGTCTCTGCATGTTAGGTAAGAGAAATAAGTTAATCAACAGATACCACCGAAATGAGACGCCAGGAGAAAACCACACGCAGGAGCGTCATCCCCGTCAGTGCTGGCGTCCTGGCCGGCCCCCAATAATTACCTGTGTAACCGATCTTCTCGAAGCTGAGCAGACCGAAGATGCTGTTGTAGAGCTGCATTTCCCGTTTATGCGTTTGGTCCATTTCGTCCAGAATCTCCATTAGCTCGTTCCCCGTCTTGGTGGGGTGGGTGCACTCCGCTTCGTGGACCGTGAGTTCGTGGTAAGGGCCCTGCCATGGGCACCCAATCCGCTTGTACTTGCACTGAGTCACCCTGCGGATGGAAAGCGGGGCAGGCCTGTGATGAGCGGGAAGGAAAGGCTGCGCGACGGAGACCGTAGTGGGCCAGAATGGGACAGGGCAAAGCTCGGAGGCCCAGAGACTTCAGTGTTTGCCCCGGAGACGATTTGTTCCATGAAAGAAACGACCAGGCCGTCTAATCCTACCACGCACAAGAGCCCAACATTCATTTAAACTAAATACAGTACAGAAGTACAGAAGAATGTTTGTCGCTCAGGGTTGAACTGTGGAATAGAACGAATCGGATTTTATTCGTAGAAGCCTCTAAATCACTACATTCGAACATGCACCTTCTCCTTTCAGTCTGGCATATTCCCTCATTTATATAATCAAGTGAGGCTCTATATAGAATAGGAATCCGCAAACTTGGCAAGAGTTTTGGACTTCAACTCCCAGAATTCCTCAGCCATGGCAACTTATGGACTTCAGCCGTGGTTGGCTGAGCAATTCTGGGAGTTGAAGTTCACAAGACTTAAAAGTTGGAATATTTGGAGACCCCTGTATTAAGAGTATAACACGGGAAGATTTTAATTTCAATCATGCTCCATCCTCTCAGAATTTAACTATCTCGATCTCTTTCTTTATCAAACGCATCACATCAGGCAACGCACCCTACAATTTACCTCTGAACACCCCCTTGGCACGGATGTCCCTGCCTGCCACCAGCATTCCGGGATCTACCTATCCTTTCAGGCAGCCAAGGTGAGAGGCCCTCTCAAAAGTGTGGAGCTCCCCTTTCCCAGAATCCCAAGGGAATCCCGGGAGCTGCATTCTTCCACCCTAACAGAGTGGCAAAGGCAGCTCTCATCGTTTTCCCTTCCATTTTCTCTCTCTCTCTCTCCCTCTCCCTCCCTCCCTCTCCCTCTCTCTCTCTCTCTTCTTTTTTTGCACCATTGTAGAAAGCAATCCGTGCCATTTACCTGTCCTGACATTCTTCTTTCTGGTGTCTCTCCAGGAGAGAGCGAGGGAACTGCCTCAGGCAGAAGCCGCACTCCGAGGGAAGTTCGCTCACGGCTTTTTCCACCGCCAGGTTTCGGCAGCAAAGGCTCTTGCTGATCTCGCAGCGACAGTTGGGACAGGTAGCCTGCTCCTCCTTCAGCCGGGCATCTGCGAGCAGGTGGATGAAGCATCCCGCACACATCAAGTGGCCATTTGTACACTGTGGGGGGGGGGGAGAGAAAGGGAAAGCAGAACTTCAGAGGCCTTCTCCAACAGAAGGCATGGAAACACCCCTGCCTTTTAGCTGCTTTTACAATGGCTCAGCAGCCCTGCCCTCCACAGGATGCTCAGGCAGGTGCTGGTATTGAGAAAGGAGAATAGTTGGAGCTCAGGATTGACATGAGGGGTGGGGGGTGGGGTTGTCTCTGAGCTAGGTAGTTTTCTTGCAGATGTTTCGTTACTGAACTAGGTCAATCATCAGCGCTAGCACTGAGGGTGTTCCCTAGTTTGGGCCATGGAGCACTTGCAAGAAAACCCCCAAGTTCAGAGAGCACCAAAAACCTCTCAGGTGCTGTCATTTTAAAGCTGCATTTATTGACTATATACAAAATAAATACGGGACCAAGAAATTCCAGTTAGCCTATGCTTAAGATCAGAAATGATTTAANTGAATAGATTCCCAACAGTAGAAAAAGGGGGCGGAACCCCCGACGCCCCCCTCCAAAAGGACTCACCAAAGCAGTTCTCCCGCAGGGTGACCACCACCACCACCAGCAGGGACAGAGAGCACAGAGCCATCTTAGCTGCGATCCTCAACCTGAGCTCAGGGCTTCTGAAGTCACAGGTAGAGAAAGACCAGCCCTGGGTCACCAACAAGGCAACAACCCAGAGCAAGCTGGCGATTGGGCAAGCTCAACCAGTAGAAAAAAGATATCCCTAAGTCGTCATTGTTGCAAGGCAGACTTCCAGGCGCAACTGGCCAGAAAGCGAAAGTTGCTTTAGGAAATCCCTTTATAGGCATTCCGTCTTCAGGGGCGGAACTGGGGGGGGGGGGGGCTGGGAAAAGCAGAAGGATTCTTTGAATCTGGGGAGAGGGGCGCACCTGAGGGGGAGGGGAGACTTCGCACAGCCCCTCACAGTGGGGAATCAGGTGGAGTTGTCAAAAAAGTGAGCATAGTTTTATGCTGCATCAACCGAGGGAGAACATCAAGAGAACAGAGAAATGCGAGGGGGGAGCTTCACGTCACAGTGTTAAGATGAACTTTCCGGCTTCTCCGGAATAGCCGTCTAATTCGGATCATCTGGACGGTCCTATCTGGATTCAAGCCGCTCCGAAGAGACGGTGAAAGGTAGGGGGAGATCCAGTGGTCCCAGAGACACTCGCAAAGTCTTTGGTGACTCGGAAAAAGCCCCCTTTGCGGGCGATCATGAGTCAACCACCAGGCTGCTGAAGCTGCTGACAGCTCCTACACGCAAGCGCAGGAGAGAAGTATGTCATGTTGGTGAGAGTTTTTAAACCCTTTTTTCTATTGGAAAGAGAACACCCTAAATTTGGAAACTTAATTTAAAATAAGGTTGACTAGAGAGAAAAGCGGCGGAAATAAGTTGGCCAATTGAAGTCTTTTTTCTCCCTTTTTATTTTCGGAAGCCAGGCTGGACTTTCATTGTAATCCAATGTGGATTGGATTACTGTGCTTTTTTATACTTTTAATTTTTGACCTTTTGGGGACACTGAATATATTTAAATCTTAATTGCCCTGAAGATTTTTTTTCTCTTTTATTTCTTTTTTGGCTATTCTTGTTATATTTCTGATTTTTTTAAAGAAAAGTTGAAACAAAAATGGAAGAAACAAGCATTGAGAGTTGATACAATTAACACTGCCATCTAGTGGACTTGAAATAATGTTACTAGAGAGAAGCGATTCCCTTGAAGGCTATTTGGTTAAGGGCTGAAAGGGGCAGTAATACAATTGTTTACACAACTGTTTCCTGTGGAACTTTCAGTATCTGGAAACTTACTTTAGACTAAACAGAAGCGCTAAGGGAAAGCTGAGAGTGACCTTGGAAAGACTTTTATCTTTAAAAAAAGAGACTGGATTTACTTTTTCTAGCTTTGTGGCAGTTTTTATACTATTCTTACTCTTGCTGGGGAGGTGATGATTTTTTTTCTTGGCTCTTTGACTCCCCCCCCTTTTTTTTTGAGGCTTTGAAGTATTGATTCCTGGGGGTTTTTTGCTCTCTTTTCCTTTTGAAGATATTGGACACAAATGGATGGCTTGCCTTAAAATTTGAGTAAATTGGATTGAAGACTTTTTTTCTCCTCTCTCTTTCTTTTCTCTTTTTTATTCCTTTACTTTTTTTAAGTGAGAGATTTTCACTTCTTCCTCTTTCCTCCTTCTTTTTTCTCTCCTCTCACTTTATTTATAATCTCTAATCTTCATAAGTTGATGTTTAAATTTTTGTGATATTAACTGAATATAAAAGAAAAAATTTAGAAGATGAGTAGAAAAACAATACCTGTTGTTTCTACAACAACCCCTGCCTCCTCACCTGCAGGAGGACAAAGATTAATACAATCAATGCTTCAACAAGAAAAGGAGACTACTATTCAAGAATGGACACTGAAAGTAACAAACCTAGCTGAGATGGCTAAAATATCAGCATATCTCAAGGACCATTCAAACGGGGGGTATAAACTGGAGCGGAGAAGATGGATTGACTATACTCGAAATAAATATGGAACTAAGAAATTCCAGGTAGTTTATGACTGAAGAAACAAGGAATGATATAATCTGTTTAGAG